CCTTGACCTTCTTTGCTTTCAGGAACTTTGATGTGGAGGCTGAAGTATGAGGAGCGCCATCCGGCTGAAGAATTTTCCCTCTCTTGTGGTTTGGAATGTAATGGGCAGCAAGAATGTCTTGATACTTCAGGCTGTTGATGTTGCCATCCACTCTGCAGATTTCTCGCATGCCCCCATACTGAATGTAACCCCAAACCATGATTTTACCTCCGCCGAACTTGACTGTTTGAATCTTGGCTCCATGCGGGTTCCAATAGGTCTTCTGCAGTATTTACGACAATTGGGATGCAGCTCAATAGATGACTCATTCTGTAGTTGAAAAAGGGCTGCCCTGGACTGTCGAAGCAACAAACGGTCCTCTCAAACAGTTGTCTTATGGGGTCTACCTGATCTGGGCCTGTCATGAACTTCACCAGTTTCTTCAAATCTTTTTCTTATCCTCTCCACTTGATGTTTAGAAACATTAAAGATGTCTGCCACCTCAGCAGGAGACTTGGTCTTCAGGCTCTTGATGATCAGCACTTTGGTCTGTGGTTGAATCTTTGGCATGCTGGCAAAGGTCAGGTTGCATTTCAAATGAAGGTTGGGTGTGCTGGGGTTCTTCTTATACACACCTGGGAATGTGTTACAGTATGTGTTACAGGTGACGCTCTAATCTGTGATTGGTTGAATCCTTTAAAGATACGGCAAGACTTTTGTCCTTGCAGAAACAGATGTTATGGGCTTTACCAAGCTGTGAACATCAGGACACTTTTTGATGGTTTCATTTTGCATCCAGTTATTAAAGTGAATGCCCTTGACATTAAAATTAACAATTTAACAACTGAATGATTAGAAATAGTTATTTGACATTTTAGGTTACTATGTCCTTATAGGACAAGACTTTTGTCAGGGAGTGTACATTTTTATTTTCAACAGGATGTACACTTCTAGAGGATGTCATCATTATTGGTGTCCATCACAAGTAAGCATCAATTAGTCCACTTAGAAGCCACAGAACAAAGATGCTCCCTATAACTGCAGAGCGTGCTTGAGTGCACACATTCTCACCACATATTGAGCTTCTAGAAATGCATTTTTATGTGTGGGAAATGGTTTTTTCTTATATCGTTAATACATCTGCCTTCAGGTCCTCGTACATGTTTTTATGGTACTGTCAAAAAACCAAACACTTTGCCTTACAGTGTCTTATCTGCATAGTACTCCCATCTTGTTGCCTCTCAATTTTGCACCATGTGGGCTGCACTGGGGACCAAATACAGAAGAGACTGACAAACCACAGGGTATTCGGGGGTTGGGAAAATTTCAACATAGCATGAATGACATGAAAATAGAGCTGATTGTGTCCTTTGCTGTTGGTAGTCATTTCCTAACACATTTTATCACCTTTTTAGACCTGCATGATATTGGAGTGAAAAGAATTTCAATACTTTTTTTGTTACTAAAACTCTTGCCAGTTTTAAGTTTGCACCTGCTAGAAAATGCCAAACATTTAAAACATCTGTAATCCATGCTGAAGGTGGTGGTGGTCAGTGTGTCATGTTACTGCTACTTTGCTTTTATTGTTCCTTCCTTGTAGTTGACAACTTGTATAACATGGCTGCATTCTATTCAGTCATATCCTGCTAATCTGCATGCTGGCTCACTGACGTGTCTTATGTAGACAGACCATCATTAATATTACGTGCTTCTCTTCTGCTTTTCCTGCTGTGACAAGTAAAAATGACATTTTTCCTCCACTGGGCATAGGATTGGCTCTTTGTTAAGAGCTGGCTCTCTGTTTGGCATGCTACAGAAAATGTGCTTTAATTATTACATTATAACCCTACACCATCCTGTTCTACCACCCTTGGGTATCAGTCCAGCTAGTGTCAGTCATGATTAGTCACATTCTCATACCCCACACAAGTGAGGTATGAGAATATTGCACATCAGTGTTTTCATGACAAAATACATGAAGGTCTTGTCATTTATAAAATGCAGTTTTAATATTGTGAATCCATACCCAATTCTTTTTTTATTATTTATGCTGATGTAATGAGCCTACATAGACCGCAGAATATTTTAACATTTTAGAAGCTTGTGGCATGCTGTTACATCAAACCATATTTGTGCATGTTTTGTTTTTTTTAACAGTTTTGCCTGCACAATGTGACGGGATGTTTTAATTTATTCACTCACAAAGAAAATGACAATCATTTAATCATCTAGAAACCTGTTTCTTTAGCTTTGCTGTTTTATTAGCTTTTTAAATCTGCATTCTTTGGGATGTCTTTATAGCTATTAGATATTTATTGGATACCAATATAATTGCCTTATATTTCAATCATTCTTTTGAAATTGTTATTTAAAATCCCTTTGAGAGGTTACTTTAACGGCACTTCAAGGTTTTTTACATGTTGTCAGGGTGCTTCTCTAAATTTCCAAATGCAGTGATCAAATATAGGTTCTGAGAAATAATAATGTGATGTCGCTACATTCGTGATTAAAATTACTGCTACAATAGTACCAGAGTAACCATTATTAATCTTTATGCATGATCATTTTTATATACCCCTGTTTGTTGAATTGCACAATTGAGGCTAGTAAATGTTATTTCATTTACCTTTGTAGTATATGACAGCCCAATCTTTATGTGGCAAAATGTGGTTTTAAAAACGTCAAAATAAAATTGTAATTGTCATTTTTTGCCAAAATTAAATGCCCCTGTAATTTACTGTTGATTGTGTAATAATTATAAAATGATAGGCATGAAGACTTATTCTTGTGCAGCCCACATATCATTGTCTTATTTGAAATTATATTTGATCTGTAGACTTTGCAGGATGTTTTCATGGGCCTCATATTTCACTCTTTGCACTTATGAGTTCTGACATGGCACATTGAATTAATTGCCACATTTTGGTACCATAAGTCTTTGCCTTAAGTTATATTGCAAATGTTTTGTATAATTTGTTACCCTTTAAGCATATTTGTTTGTTGAATATCATATGTTTCATGTGGAGTTGAGTGACAAACTCAACTTTTTTTAGTACAAAATAAACCAAAACTACCAAAATCACTTGTTTGCAGTTATATGCTTTTGCCATCCAGTCAGATTCACAGGAATTGACCTTGACCTTTGACCGTCGACCACCAAAATCTAATCAGTTCATCTTTGACTAAAAGTGGGCATTTAATTTGAAGAATTTCCATTAAGGCGTTCCTGAGATACTGCATTCAGAAGAAGGAGACAGACGCAAGATGACTGTGACCTTTGACCATCAAAATTTTATAATTTCATCCTTGAGTCCAAGTGGACACATGCCAAATTTTAAGAAATTCTCTCAAGGGATTCCTGACCTATCATGTTCACAAAAATGGGCTGGGCAAACAGGCAATCCAAAAACAGTGCCTCCTCCCACAGCTATTCCCAGTGCAGAGACATAAAAAGTGTTGCTGTTGTTCTGCATTACAGTTATTAAACTTCAGCAGCCACTATAGATTTGTAAAACTGAGTCCTGATACTAATTATACAGATACTGTTTCAAAACATGACCTTCTTCCTCCAGTGTTTCATGGTAAATTGTATATTTTTATCTGAATTAAACAGCCTGTGAATCAGATCTACAGTCATGGCCAAAAATACTGACACCCCTGCATTTCTGTCTGGTAATGCACAACTTCTCCCAAAACAATATTGCTCTCACAAATTATTTGGTATTCTCATGTTTATTCCTTTTGTTTCCATTGGAACAACAAAAAAAGCAGAGGGAAAAAGTCAAATTTGATACATTCCACACAGGACTTCACAAATGGAATGGACATAATTATTTACACCCTCAACTTATATTTAGTAGCAGTAGTCCTGCTGTAAGACCAGTGACCTCTGATGGAGACCCGACTTTCTGACACCGGGCCCTACCAGACACAGTCAAGATGTCCAGTGCCTGAAGCAGCCAATCAACCCCAATATATCAGTGAATCTTTGCCATGTTTGACTGTAGGGGCCATGTTTTTTCTTTAAAGGCCTCACTTTGTTTTCTGAAAACAGTAGAATGATATGCTCGACCACAAAGCTTTATTTTAGTCTCATCTGTCCAAAGGACATTGTCCCAGAAGGATTGTGGCTTCCTCAGGTAAGTTTTAGCAAACTCCAGTCTGGCTTTTTTATGTTTCTGTGTCAGCAGTGAGGCCCCTGGGTCTCCTACCATAGTGTACCTTGTCATTCAGATGGTGATGGATAGTGTGAGCTGACACTGTTGTATCCTGTGCCTGTAGGTAAGCTTGAATTTGTTTGGAAGGTGATCAAGGTTCTTTATCCACCATTCAAACAGTCCTTCATTGCAATCTGTCATCAGTTTTTCCTCTTTCGTCCAGGGAGATTAGCTACAGCGCCATGGGCTGTCAACCTCTTGACAGTGTTGCGCACAGTCGACACAGGAACAGCCAGATCTCTGGAGATGGACTTGTAGCCTTGAGATTGTCCAGGCTTTTCCACTATTGTGGTTCTCACATCCTCAGACATTTCTTTGCTCTTCTTTCTTTTCTCTATGCTCAGTGTGGTCCACATGACACAAAGGTTGAGTCAACCTTTTTCCATTTTTAACTGTTTGCAATTGTGATTGTTATATTGCCAGCACATGTTGACTGCTACAGGTGAGTTTCATTACAAATTAAAGGAGCATCACATGCTGGAAATACAACTGTTTCTGATGATTTTGAAAAGGTGTCAATAATTCTTTGTGGAAAGTATCAGATTTGGCATACCAACAAAGGCATAGCCAGAGTGATGGATTTCGGGTTTAAATCCTTACCCTCAGCTGTCGGTGAATAACAATGACAGCAATGAAACATCAGGTATGGAACACAGCAGTGAAGAAAGCAATGCAACAGGTGTTTGACTGTGGGGAATGGTCCTCACCAGCTGCTAATGTTAATGCTACCTGTACTCA